AAGTAGTCCAAAGATTCTTATGCAGGATACTTTAAGATGGGTCTGCCATCTTAAAGATAAAATATGCAACCTTCTATCCATGTCCTTAATGTGGGCTGTCTGTAACAAGCACTGTCAGCTTTTAAGAGGGAGTGTTAGAGATTTGACGGTAAGAATGGACACTGTGCAGAAACTAACTTTCAGTAGAACCATGACCCAGCATCTCCAGGGAAATGCTGACCCTTTCGTCAATCATCAAGTAGGATGCCACGGTCACCTTTTCATCAAACTTATATATTTAAGAAGAGATCACTGGCGGTCATGTAGCAAAGCCCCATTCACGTCTATACAAGACATTTTTGTAATTTCAGTGAGAAGACAAGAAGAGTTGTGGTGATATCCTTGTGAGAGAAGACTTTGTCCTGACAGCAGTTCACTGCAGGTGAAGATGAGGGGCAGATGTTACAAGGACTTCTATTTCCATTTTTGTTCCTCAGGGGCGCTCCTGCAGCATGTGTAACACAGGCCCAAGGGGTCTCATCAGAGGAACCATTAGTGAGCAGGATGAGGTGGTGAAAAGAAGGTCAGCATGTAGCTTATGAAGGCAGAGGTTGGAGCAAGTGGGAAAGATCAGAGAGATACCACACTGGATGTTTTAGGCAGACAGTGGAGGTTGACAGCAGGTATGGATCAATTCATTTCATATGAACTGAGAGCTAAAGGGAATCTCACAACTGCTTACCTTCAATGCTCTTCTTGAGACGCCAAAGGCTCAAGCTCAAGGGCCCCTCCTTCCAGCATTTCCCCTCAGCACCAGCCCTACCCTGACTCAAGGATTATAACAATGCCTTTCAGTTATGCATGGTGAACCTGAAGAAAAAGATGGCTGCCTTTAGGTGAGATTTAACACTAGCCTTGCCTGGCTCTGGGGACAAGGATGTTTCTCAAATCTCTGGGATCTGAAGAGTCTTGCTAACAATAGCGGAGTGACTTCATTTGCTTTACTGGAATAACAGGACTGGAATAGCCATCCTGAAGAGTCACGCAAGCCTGTAGGAGCTCACCTGGGCTGAATCAGAAAAGCAGGGATATGTCTCCTTGATTACTTGGGTTCTGGTAATTTGAAGTCAAGCTCTGTTCCCAACACCCACATGTCTAATATGAGATGTCCAAAACAATCACTATCAGCGTTTAGGGAGGCCCATTGAGACTTGAAGGGAAGGACATGTTATGAAGCCAATAAGGATTGCTTTCGGGAGAGTCAAGGACAACTTGTCACAACAAATAAAGGGCAAAGCTAATCTTGTCTTCATTCATCAGGTAGGATGCCCCCTCATACCATTTTCCTTTTTCTTTTTACAGAGGAGATCATTGGAGGTCATGAAGCACAGCCTCATTCACGTCCATACATGGTGATTGTTGCGTTATTTCAAGATGGCGAGTGGAAAAGATGTGGTGGTTTCCTTGTGGAAGAAGATATTGTCCTGACAGCAGCTCACTGCTGGGGAAGGTGAGGGGTAGAACTTCCAGGGACCGTTCACATTCCTATCACACGGGGGAGATACTTCATCTGGGTGTAACTCAGGCCCAAGAATTCTCATCATCAGAACCATTTGAGACTGAGATGAGTTGGAAAGTGAATCAACATGTAACCCATGAGGTCAGAGAATGGGGCAAGTAGAAGAGGTCAAGGAAAGACAGTGGAGGTTGAGAGCAGGAATGGTCAAGCCATTTCATATGACCTGAGGGCAAAATAGAATTCCACAACCACCTACAATGCTGCTGGGAAACCAAAGCTCAGCAAGTTCAAGATGAAGGGCCCCTCCCTCCAGCATTTCCCTCAGCAGCCGCCATACCCTCCCCACCTGTCACCTGCTTTAGGGCTCCAGTTCTGAGAACCTCTTCTTTTCTCTCTGTACAGCCCCATGGATGTATTCTTGGGGGTCCATGACATTTTGTTGGAAGAAAACACATGGCAGAATATTGATGTGAAAAAAGCCATCCCCCACCCTAAGTATAGCAATAAGACTGATAATAATGACATCATGATACTACAGGTGAGGCACAATCCCTGCTGCTCCTGCTCCCTTGGGTTCAAGAAATTTCTCCTTCCACCAGGACCCCTGCCTTCCTCATCCTGGCTGCTTCACTAATCCCAGGTCCAGGGGGGAGAAGGAATCAAGTGCAGCCCATCAGGCTCTGCGGGGCAGCAGGCTCTCAATGACCAAGACTTTGTTGTTTCCTTCATCAGCTGGACACAAAGGCCCAACTGACTGCAGCTGTGGGCCTAATCCGCCTGCCTGGAGAAAGTGACCATGTGAGGCCTGGGCAGGTGTGCAGTTTGGCTGGCTGGGGCAATATCTCTGACAGTGAACGAACAACCAAGCTGCATGAGGTGGATCTTGTTATTCAGGAGGACTTCCAGTGTGAGAGCCGCGAGCCGGATTATGACAGGACCACTGAGCTGTGTGTGGGAGACCCTGAGAAAAAGATGTGTTCCTCTGAGGTGAGACTTAGCATTAGACTGGCCTTGAGGCTATTTGAGGAAGACCTAGGATGTATAGATCTAGCAATAAGGGGAATGTCTTCACTCACTTTTCTGAGATAACAAGAGTAGCAAACTACCTAGATACTCAGGCCTCTGTGAGCTTCCCAAGGGTGAATCAGAAATGTGTTCCTCCAGAAAGATGAATTTATGACTCCTTATTCCATGCCAAAGGGATAGGTGGCCTAGGGGTAAGACACATCAATGTAATCCCAAAGGTGCTCCTCAGGAAGAAGATGAGGAATCTCCTCCTGTGTGATTCATCATCTCTAAAATCTCACTGGAGGATCACTTATGGGCAGTTCACATTTGACAGCAAAACAATAACATGGTACCGCAAACGTCCCTAAGGAACAAAGAGTTTCCCTTCAGGTTCTACCTTAAATATTTGTGGTTTGAACCTTCTCAAAGTTGTTCCATAAGCTTTATAGGGTAGAAAATCCAATGAGCAGATCAACTCTATAACATTTAGAATTACTATAAACTGAGACGTCCAGAATGGGTTTGTGTCTTTGTTTTTGTTGTTTTTTTTTTTTTAATTTAATGTGGGAGAAGTAGAGAGGATTGCCCTGCCACCTAGAGCACACATACAAGGAAACCCTCTCCCTCCAATTTGAACAATGAAAACCATGTAAATACTCAAGACCTGTAATCACCCTGGTCAATGTACTGTCTTCCATTAACCTTCTGCCTTTCCTTAAACAGTAGCCTGGAAACAAAGTTCCACAACTTCTTAGAAGGCAAGAGACCTGAAGTTAGGGAAGGAGATAGATCACAACCTAGGCATGAAACAACAATGATGTCAAGTATCAGATTTTGGCATGCTGGGGGTCCCCAGAAAAACAATAAACTCCTTTTTTCACCTATTTGTGGCAGTTTTCTCCCAGAACATAGAGGGAGGCAGGACCAGCAAAACAATTAACTCTGCCTTTCCTATCTGTGTTCCCAGGGAGACTCTGGAGGTCCCTTGGTATGCAGAAATGTGGCCCAGGGTATTTCTACCTCTGGAAGGGAAAATCCAACTTCCCCATGTTTCTTCACCAAAATCTCCAGTTTCTTACCCTGGATAAAGAAAACTATTAAAGTTCTCCACCTGGAAGAATCACCCTGAGCCCCTATATGCTTGGTCAGCTCTTAACAGCAAGAACCTTAATAAATGTGTCTTAACCGCAAGGAAATGATTGTGTCTTCATTATTCACTTGGCTTTTTAGCAGATGGCAATTCTAGATGAGAGAGCTCTTGAGAACTAGTGGGTAAGGAGTTGCACTGCCAAACCAAATGTAGGCGGTATGAATGCACCAAATGACTCAAGGAAGAAACATGATCGGTCAGCTACAGTGCAATTTATACCCTCTGAAAACCCAGGGCATGATTAGGTATGAGTTAGTTCTGGCTTGAAGGCAATGATATTTTGTCCTTTTTTCTTTTCTGGTTTCTTGGGCTTTTAATCCTCATTGAGGCAGACCTAGAACATAGCCATGTTCTGAATCACGGTCTTTTCCCTACTCTACATCCACAACTCATATGCAACAAGTCAACCAGCTCTTTCTTATCTGTTGTTTCTCTAAAGCTTGCCCTTCTGCAGGGCTAAGACAGAACACCCTCGGTGGAAGACACGAGGCTCCCCGGTTCTATGTGCAGATGAACTGTTCAGTTCTGTTTTCTGTGCTATGTGGCAGAGAGCAAGGGGGGCCCACTGGGATCAGGAAGACAAGCTGGCCATCCTAAGGCTCTGGGAAGAAGAATGGAACATTTCTGCCTTATAATCAAAAAAACTGGCAGCTTTGAAGGGTGAGGATCTTGAGAACTTTCTTATTTCCCTATGGGATTCATGTACTTCCTGAGCTCCATGCCCTGTTGTGAACTCAGGGCCTAGTTAAGCATCTAATTTCCTGGCTACTCTTTCTCTTTCATGTCTTTTTATTACTGAGATTTCTCAAAGTCTAACAGATCCTTTCTCTTGCAGACTACACTGTTTGGAGATAGACTTTTTCCCATCTCCCCCCATCCTAGGAATTCTAGTGACCTGTGTGGTTCAAATAGGGCTTACAACAGAGCAGCCAGCCTCAGTCATTCTGGCAGAGAAGGACCTTGGAGGAGCTGGCACCAGGCAGGGCCCTGAGAGGGCAGACAATAATATTCCAGAAAGGTGGGCTGCAATTCTTACCGGGCAGAAATAACTCAAACTCCTTCCAGTACTACATCCAGCCCACTAGCAGTCACAAACTCTGAGACCATTGGCCACTTTGTGACTCATTAGGTTGAATCCCTTTGAGATTCTCTTTCTTTGTCACTAGCGGCCTATAGGCTAATAATCCTGGATGATAATTCATTGAAATAGAGTCAGAACCAACACATGCCTACCACATGCTATGTCAGTCTTTTGGGCTAGAATGACTACCTTTGTGCAGCAGGACAATGAAGCATCATATCTTTTGCCACCAATAAAGCAAATGCACACTGGACCCTGTTTAAAGCCAGTGTAGAAAACAACATAACAGGTTTATCATCTTTCAGTCGATTTGTCTATTGCCTGTCCCTTTCTTAAATGAGTCCATGCGCACTAGATCTACATGGGACATCTACAGAAGAAAAGTACCTTTTATTGCTGGCCACTTTTTCAATAAGTTGTCTTAAATAGCCCAAGAAGTACAGTTTAGATTTGGAAACAATTGTGGTTTCTAGATACAAAGTTTCCAAACTGTGTTCACTAAAGCAACTTCATCTAGAAGACAGGGGAAATATACTACTAATTGTACAGATTCACTATGTAGAAAAAACACACTTAGATGTTGGCCTTGAAAGCATTAACATGTGACCCTTAGCATCCATCCTA